TTGGACATAGTAGTGTCTGGTTAAATAGAGATAAAAACATTTTAAGGACTTTAACTGGTGCCACTAGGTATACTCAAAGAATACTCTTGTCTGTCCTCATAAGATCTTCCCTCAAGCCTGACTTTGATTATAATCATCAGCAAACAATGCAGCAGTGTGATCAGCACTGTAGGTAAGAGAAAAGGTTGTAAGCTATGTTACTGACCTCAAAAGGATTTACCAGCAACCAATTAGATACATGTTAATACGCTGAACTATTAATACATACATATTACATCATTACAAATATAGCCAGAGATTAAACTGGGATGGAAAATTACAACCAAGCAAGTAGTGAGAAGAAAGGGATAACAGAGAAATGAGAATAAGAAAAGGCCAAGAGTAGAAATGAAACAGGGACCCCAAATGGTAAAGAAAAAAGGAAAACAGGGTTTGTAATAAGGTGATGTGAGTTTAAGTTCTAGTTCTGTCTTGATTGCAGACAAAGCTAAGGTTTTAAAGAAATAACCAACAACTCCCAAATCTCAATGATGTACAAAGTGAAGTGATTTAAAACCCTTCACTTCTTTTTCCACGACAATCTCTAATTGTCAGGATATTTTACTCATAATAGTTATTTAGGCAGTTTGGAATAGTTAAGTAGCCCCCACCTTGACCAGATGCTGTTTGCAATGCTTCAGAAGAAAAGAGAGTTCTAGAAGATTTTACAATTGTGATCCAATGTGAATTATGATATAATTCAGCCCAGAAGCACTTCATGGCACTTCTGCTCCCAACTCATTGGCCAGAACTAGACACATGGTCCTATCCAAGCACAAAAGTGCCAAGACACGTAAGCCTATGTTACTATCACATGAATGTGGGGAGAACAGGAAATACATTGCGTACAGGCCATATTACTACAAAAGTACTCATTCTGTAAACTCGATTAAGTTATTGAGACTGTGTATTTCCAGATACTGCTATCTGGCTTTCCAGCTATGACATTAAGTAATTAGTAAATATCTGTGAACTCCAGTTTCCCCATTTACAAAAACAGCAATAAAATCACTTATGCCATGAGAATATTCACATAATTAAGTAACCTAATATATGGAATATAGCTAACAGAGTACCTGCTATACAGTCAGTGCCCGGCGACATGTTAAGTCAAGTTCATCATGGCTGCTCTGAGTACACTCATTCTAAAGACGGCTCAAAATTTGCGAGTGTCCAAGGAACTTTCTCACAAATGCACAAGACTGTCAATAGTTACTACACTGTGCTCACACACAGAGTTTGGGCCACAGACCTGCAATGAGGATGGTTAAGTATTGCTTCCCAGTGAGTCTTCATTGGGAGGCTGGCCTAAATGAGGACTGCACAACCCTCAGGAGAAGACATTCATTTCAGAAATGGACATGGGGATTCTATGGTTGTGCTTATGGAGGAACAAGAGAAACAAACTGAAAGAACATAAGCTATTTCTCCTGAGGTCAATGTCATTTTGCTTTACTATCATCATTATCTCTATTTATTTTCTGGCCTTTTCTTCCCTATGTCTGTCCTACCTTTGCTTTTACCTGCCTTTAATGATCTCATTAGTTCTGTCATTTTCTCTTGTCCTTGGGAAAGTTACTTTACCTCTCTGGGTTTTAATAATGTCATGTGAATAAATAGGAATAATATTCCCTACATCCCAGGATTATTACATAAATTACAACAATTAATGTATATAAAACCACCTAGTATGATATGAGTATGCAATGTTTAAGTTAAAGTGGTAAATAAAATCCTCTTTTGGAATTTGGATTTGGTAATTGCATTTTACAAATCTAGAGAGTGAATGAATTCCAACATATGACATTCCATACATGCTTGTTGAGTAAATACATGGGATAAAACGTATGATCGGCTTCCTCTCTTATCTGTGGATTATAAGTAAGACTTCTATAATTAGCATGATACATTGTTGTGTCATTCATTTTTATTTCAAGATACAAACAAATTTTCGATTACATTTATGTTGATAGTTGTAAATGATATGCCTGCATATGTTTATATTTGTATCTACAATATTTCAATGTAATCTGACAAACAGGTCTCATATTTTCCTTTTTGATTCCAAAATTGGATTCATTATATGGCTGCCACACAAGTATTTGGTAAAAATGAGCTCTCTCTCTATTCGTTCAGATTCAAAGTACTTACATTCTTCTAGGAAAAAATGTAAAACATGATTTATCAGACCTGGAGATCTATTTTGTGTATTATTTATACTTTTCTAGTCAATAAGTAATATTTAACATTAGCAAAATCTAATCCAAATGAATTTTGCATTATTTGTCTTAAAAATATAAATATGTACATTTTTACAATTTAAATAAATCATACAGGTTAAAAATAATGAGTAGGAGAAAATTAATTTATATGATGGTATTAATATAATTTATTTTTAAAATTTGAAGTATTATGCTGTTGACTTTATTTTGATAAATAAGAAATTTTACTTATTTTAATAACTATATAAATAAAAATATAAATATGTATATATGATACACATGTTATCTTGTTTTCAGTCTTATTATAGCCATCTGATAAAGTCATTCATTTGCCATATATTTATTGAACCTGTGCCATGTGCCCAATACTCTCCTTGTTCCAGAGCAAGATGAAAAGTAGTTCACATCCTAATGAAAGAAAACATCCAACAAACTAAAAAATAAGTAAAGTATATGTCTTGACAAATGGTGTTGAGTTTTGCGGATGAAAACAAATCAAAGAAATTGAGAGAGAATGTTTTTGGCTTTCCATTTTCAATCATGGTTTGGTAAGGTCTCACCAATAAGGTGATGTATGAACCCAATGGGTTCATAATGGGAATCAGTGGGAAAAGGAAGGCCAGAAATTTCTGGGATCCTAGTGACACAAACAAAAATAAAAGCTCTAATACAATCCTCAAGGTGTCAGAGAAAAGAAGGTAATTCCTGAGGGCTGAATAGGAGGGTTGACAATGAGTACAAAGTATAAGATGGGGTTTTTACAGGGACTTCTACAACCCAGGATTCCTGGTCATTCCTGTCAAACATCCACTTTCTCACACAGATACACACATATTCACCAAATCTCATCTCTGCTCAAAGCTGTTTGAAAGTTAGGTATGACCAGGCATTCTCTGTCTTCGCTTTTAAAGCCAACAGTCATATATTATTTCTAACTGTTTAGTGGTAAAGACATGCAGATATATAAAAGAGTAGAAGGTGACTTACATGATTTTTGGTAGGTATTACCGCTTCTCAAACAAGTTTAACTCAGTGTGTTATTTCTTTAAAGCTTTACTAAATCTCAACACTTAAGTTTTTCTTTAGCATCCAAACTCAATAGAAAACAGTTTGTTTATAAATGTATATACTAACACATTAAAACCAGTGGTATGATATTTCGCAAGGGAACAATCAGAAAAGCATCATCATGCATTCTACCTGTCATTTTTCCGCCATTGATTTAATTAAACAGTGTCTTTTATGTTCATGGCACCAGAAATAAAAATAAAAAAATGTAAAGCATAATTCCTCATTTCAAGACATATAACTTAGGGCAGACAAACAGCACAGAATAAATATTCAATGGGTACATAAATATATGTACCAAATTGCTGTATTAATAATGTGTTCTGAGAACATTAAGTTATTTATTTCTAAACTTCGGCTGGGGATAAAACTGATTATTAGTCCATGAGGTAGGAGAAAGCAATGATAATTGAAAAGTGGTAGGTCAACGGCAATTCTCCAATTGCATATGTCAAGACTAGAAACTTTAAAAATTTATTTATTTTCACCTGTAACTGAATTTTTACAATGATTTTGACATTAAAGTATATTTTTACATTATACTTCCTTTTTTGTTGGCTATCGAATCTATCCTTCATTTTGTACCAATTAATATATTCAATAAATGTGTGCATTTAGAAAATTTCTTCACCCTTCAATGACTTAATTTATTGCCTATAAAATGAAAATAGTTACTTCTTCATAAGATTGTTTTGAATATTATATCAGATAATGCATTGAAGAGCTTAGCTTAATGTCTGGTACACAAAAGTCCCAGTAAAGATTGGCTATTTTTTCAAAATATTTGATACTTACAAAATAATTTCAGCAAAAATATATGCAGCGTAAATGCATATATTAATTCCAAAGGAAAAAAAATCTATTTGTTTATTTCAAAAGTCTTTCTTATAGACAAGTTGAATAAGAAATGTTACAGATATATAAAGTTTTCTCCCATAATTAGTATGTTATTTTTGATGTTTTTTCCTACTTTCTTAAAACTCAAAAATCTATTATAAAATGTTACGTGATTTAATAAAAAGTTTAGAATATTATTTTCAGTATCATGGACTGTTATTAAAATAAAACACTAGCTTAATTTATCATAAGTATTTAATGTTTATAATTTATTATATGCCTAAATATCAGTTTATTTTATACTTCAAAACATTTAACATAAAAAGTGGAGTATTTGTCCAACATTAGAAAACCCCATACTATGAAATTTTCTAATAATTTCTATGGAAACAAATCCTTTGCCAACCTATATATCTTCAGATGGTGTAGATAACTTTGTGTTTATCTTATAGCAAAGCTAAGCATAGGACGTAATAATTATTTAGTTTAAAATCTTCTAAAATCACAATTAATATGGGAGTAATATAAATTATCTGGTAGATTGGGTTTTATATTTACTTCTTTATAAATTTACTAGTATTACTCTATGTAAATTCTAATAATTATGTTTTTAATGGTCCATCTCTATTCTTTGTCAAGAAGTAGATCTCGAAATTGTAAATTTCCAAATTTACTGCTATTTCATGTATTAAAATGTGCATTTTAAAAATCATATGGAAACTACTGAAAGTATATTCTCAAATAAGTGCACCTATGTGAATAATAAACCAGAAAACGAATAGCTTAGTTTATAATTGGCAGGCACTACAAGCAGATTCAGAATATTGACTGTACCTTATGTCGCAATCTCATTAGAGGCTGATAGGATTTAAGGCCATATCCTCCTTCTTTTGTTGGCCTTCCTTCTGACTCCAGAAAAATGAATCCAAGAACCAAGACAACTGAGCAGCACTTAAACATCCTTACTGCTTTTTACCTGTCAAAATTAAAATTGCAAGGAATCAGAGAAAATGAATTATATATTGAAAAACACGTATCATGAAATATTTAATATCACGTATAAATCTCCATTAATCTAATGAAAACTTGCTGGTAGTTGCCAAGGGAAATGAGAAGTAAGTATCTCCAAATACAGATTATTCCTTTGATCATAACAAATATTTTTTTATTCAGACAAAATATTAAATAAGAAGAAATAAAGGGACTGATAAAAATGTGGTAAGAAAAGAGTTAATAAAAAAAGGTCAAAAGAAAAGGGGAAATAGAGAAAATATTGCATTATACTTAATTTTCTAATTATCTGTACAGAATATAATTATTAATATATAAATATTGAACTTTTATTTGAGTATGTTTGATGAACAAATATTAATAGACTTATAGTTATTATAATTCACTGGTAAATATTGATGAGATGTTAATAAGATAGTCTATGATAGGCAGTACTTAATAAATTAACTGAGTACAACAGAAGCTATGCAGGTGGATTATATTTAGTTACTAATGTACTTTTTCAGTATTTAAAAAGGCATTTCCTAGAAAATTGCTTTACAAGCACTTTAAACTAAAAGCGCTACTTCAGCCTTTCTATATTTTTGTATATAAATAAGTTGTAAAATGGCATAAACTTATTATTGTATAAATACTAAGTCCTTTCCAAACACACAAATCTAAACTTTGAGTTCAAGTATTTCCTGCTTTATCACTTTCGCCAACACACCTCCTTCCCTACTGTGACAGAGAGGAGTTTTTCTTCTGTCAAAGTCAATCTGTTATGTCTGACTTCTTGAGAAACGTAATCAATTGATTAACATTGCTCTATGCTGTATTTCGGGTTTGTTTTAGAGACAGGGTCTTACTTTGTTACAAAGGCTTGAGTGCAATGGCACCATAAATGACCCTCCTATCTCAGCCTCCCCAGTAGGTAGAATGGCAAGTGTGTGCCATCAGGCACAGTTAATGTTTTATTTTTACTTTTCAGAGACAGGGTCTCACTATCTTGTCCAGGCTAGTCTTGAACTCCTGGTGTGTCAAGTGCTTCTCCTGCTGTGGCCTCCCAAAGCACTGAGGTGACAGGCATGAGCTACTGAGCCTGGTTCTTGACTGAATTTTCAACTCCCTTTCTCAATTATTTTCTTCCATCTTTAGACAGATGTAAATGGCCTATGTTTTAAGGTAATTTCTCTCCTCTACTTTTTGAATTTCTGGAATAGTTATATACATCCTTCCATCCATTTTTTTACCCTAGTCCACTCAGTTATGCTTCTGACCTCATCAGGCCATTAAACTGACTTTTAGCTTTCTCAAAGCTAACCAGCACAATCACACACACACACACACATACACACACACACACAAACACACACCAGTGGGCATTCCTAATGCACTTTTACAAGACATATGCTGGCCATTCCTTTTTTTTTTTTTTTTTTGGAAGAAATTGTCACTTTCTTTGGTATTTATAACATTTCTCTCTTCTGTTTCTGTAGATTTTGTGAAAATTCCTCAGTACTTTACCAGGTTCAGCCTACTGCTTTATTTTGCCATTAAATATTGTGGCTTATCAAATCTCATTGCTAGCCACCTATATTCCTGTTTCATTCATTCAGCCCAGGTTATCTTAACATCATCTCTGGTCTTAATTATATATATTGCTTCACATTCAATCTCTAGAATGGTATAGCTTGCTTACTTAGTTCCACCTTCATGTTTCAAAAACAGCCCTTCATAGTATGCACACCCTCCCATAACACCACACTTTTCCAGATTTTCATTCATCTGTGTACTTAAATCAGAAACCAAGGAAACATCTTTGATATCTCTTGTTTACCCCCTAAACTCATCACTAAATTCTTTTATATCTACCTTCTAAATATATTCCTAAACTTTGCTTCCTCTCCATATTGACTGTCCTCACTCTATTGCAAGCTGTCAAGACACTTCTCACCTAAACTGCCCTAACTACATCCTTGTTAGTCTTCCAAATTTCTATATATGCATCTTAAGTCCACTCTCCACATGAGAGCCTGAGTGATCATGTTATTGCACTCATTAATAACTTTAGCATATTTTCATGTACTTTTGAGATAAAAACCAAAATCCCTGACCTAGCTGACAAGTTCCCAGTGTTGGGGCTCTATGTTTTCCTCTCTTCCTCTAGATATCACCTCCTGCGACACTAAACTTCATTCAGTGTTTTTAACTTATTTTGCCTGTCTCTGCTATAAGGCTTTTGTAAGGTATTTTCTCCACTGGAAATAAGGCCCTTTCTTCCTGCCCCATTTATCACCAAAAAACTTTCACATATCAGACATCTCTCTCAAGAATCTCTTCCCTGAGTGACTTGTTTTAGTTACTTATTCCCATAGATCAATTTTCCTTCATTTCAGGGATGTAATTATAAATCATAACCATGATTATTTGAAAAGTGTTGGTCTTCTCCATTAGATTATATATCATTTTTTTTCTCCAAACTTTGTTAATGCAGGAAATCGTTTGCTTTTAGTTTTGTTTTCTTCAGCATTACATCTCCTGGGCCTTGCAAATAGCCTGGCACCTACTGAACAATAAACAAATGCATAAATGTTCTGCATTCAAGGATAAAATAAAGATCACGTTTCCTTACATTCTGATAATGTTTAATGCAATTCCTATTTCCAATGATGCTACAAAGCTTCTGAAAACTAACCTGAGCAAACTAAATATTTTCATTTGCAACCCGTCCCCTCCCCTCTTTTTTTTGTCATTTTGATGTATAGCCTAATCCTTTTCTCAGAGGTGAATATTTGTTTATAAGACATCTGGATGGAAGATATTAAATCCAAGATAGAGCCAAGAATAAAGCAAAAAGGACCAGCTCAAGTTAGGAGATATTTTCCACAAGGTTCTGAATACATCTGCTGCTTCTGTTGTCCACCAGGAGAGTCAAGAAAGGGGCATGAAAACAACTTCCTTCCATGCGGACTCTCCGTACAAGTGAGGTTAGAAATCTCTTTAAAGTGCTCACTAAGATTTCTCTTTCTCTGCCCTCCCTCTCATTTTCTCTTTCTCTTCTTCCCTCTCGTCTTTCTCTTTGTGTGTGGACACAGACACACACACAGACGTGCACACACACACACATATTCTATATGACTACAAATATTTCACGCATTATAAAATATAGAGCAAATTAACAATGAATTTTAATAGGTTACTAAAAATCTTATAAAGCTTCTGTTAGATCCCATGCATTCAGACTTAGATCAACATTATCCTGAAATATTTTATCTGCCCAAAGGCAATCAGCTAGAAATATCTGCCTTACATTTCACTAAAAGTCAATAAAAATAAGTCAGTATGTAAATCTTCAAGGCCGTATATGCAACCTATTTGTGCTATTTTCATCTACATTTCTTATATGATTAACCATAATTAATTGTTTTCATTAATAATCCTGATTTCCAAGTCCCAAATCTCTCAGTAATGCGAAGTTACACAAAAATAAATATACATATATGCTTTGCTGCAGCAAAATTTATCATACCGCTGGATTGATTTACTGGTATCACAAATAAAACTAAACAGAACTAATACTAAAAGTCAGGTAGTCAGAAGTCAGTTTTCCTTAGGAAAACTCTGATTTCTATTACACATAGGCATTTGAGCTCAGTAGTATAGAGGTAATAGCCAAAAAAGACCAGAGAAAGAACAAAACCTAGTTTCTGTGCTCATCTTTTGTAAACAACGACCTTGTAATTTTTTTCTTCCTTGAAATATCACTAAGAAAACCAATTGAATCCAATTATATAGTTATCAAACAGTAACCAAAATAAAAAGAATGGCTCTTCTCGATGTATGCTCAGAGAATCATGATCACCTTTTTATTTCTCTTTAGATACAGAATCCAAAGATATCATTATTATATCTTTAAAAGTTCACTCATCCACAGAAAGTGTTCTGGAAATTGTTTGTAAATCAGCAGTAATCGATCCCATGATAAACAGTGTCGTAATCTCACTTTGTCAGTATAGTAACCTCTGACAACCTGTTAGGTTTTCAGATTTAATTGGCAGTTTGTTGACAGCTCACTAAGAACACTGAAAAGCACGTGACTAAAACAAACCAGCTGGAACAGATGGTGCAATAATGATCCTGTGACTTTTCCTTGTAACCCCCATGTTCATAGGAAAGCATCAGAAAACAACCTCATTATTAACTTGAAGAAAACAAAATGCATGCGTATCTAAAAAATATCTGCCTAACTTCAGATCTAACAAAGTGAGACTTTAAAATGGTGAGGGGGTGGGCAGAGATCTCTCGTCTTCAAAATATGTTTCTTTGAATCAAGCCATTTTTATTTTCTCCGCCTGGCAAATCATGCCATGCTGCTTGCAGGGGGTAGGATTTAGAGTAATTACGTTATTTAGTAGATTCAAATTTGAGGGATTTTGATTTGTTTACATATTCTCCAGAATGTCACTTCTAATCACTCGGAAAACTAAGACCACCGAAGCTTTGCCTTAAGAATAAAATGCAGCATTTGAGATGGAGTAGAAAACTGTCGTAGCATGCCTTTGAATGAAGAGTGTCAAGATGAAGCAAAATCTCCAACATTATCAATCGTTGCAGAGAGGTTAAGTATCCTCACCTGCCTCTCACTCTGTTGCGAGTGGGCCATCTCGGGTTCTTGACTTCATGGTACAAAAGACTTTGAGAGCAAGTTCAAAGTAAGAGCATGCAAAGAAGTTTATTGCAAAGCAGCAGTGCACTGTGAGATGCAGAGCAGGCTGCTCAAAGGGTGAGGCTGCATCTAGTGCCTTAGAAGGAATTTCTTGTATGGGAGCTGTACGTGAATATTCATAAAATACTGGTGAGGTAACGTGTGCAAAGGCTGACCTCTAATTGGCTCATGCGCTCAGTATCTACATGCTCTAACACAGTTCGCATGTACCATTAGCATATAAAATCTCCACGTAGGTGTGGGCTTTTTACCACTAA